CCAGCAACCAGGCCACGCAAACAAGCGAAGCCCCATCCACTGGATGCAGGCAGCACATGAAACCACACCCCCTCTGGTCCGCACAGAACTGGTTCTTGGTGCCCAAAAGGTTGGGGGCCTCTGGTCTAGAGTATGTTATTTGCACTTAGGCTTCATTGAACTATCTGTTATAAATTAATCCTAACTCTTTTTTAGAGTGAATACTTCAATTCATTCTTAACTCTTGGTGATTACACAGACAAATCAGTATTGTTTTGGGAAGTGTTTTTGAAAGCATTTTGCCATTGTTTTTTTCCTAAGGCTGAGAGGAAATGATTGCTCCACAGTCACTCAATTGACCACCCTGCTTAAGACAGGATTAGAACTCAGGTTTTTCTGCTCCCGGTCAGCAACTTAATCACAAAACCAAATTGGCTCTCAATTATAACTAGGTTTCATTAATTTCAGAACACCCAGTTTTGTCTGGAACCAGTCAATGTCTCTCAACCAAGATTTCTGCTCTAAATAATTTAATAGCCTCAATACCACAATAAGAAAAATGTAAGAAATCCAGGGGAAAGTAACTACTGTTAGAATTGCCAAATACATTTGTGAAAACAACTCCACAATGTATAGTAAAGTGAGACAGGAGTAGCTGACACATAGGTCCATCAGCCCAGAATTCTCTACAATTGCTTTCATATCTGCCTGCTATAAATCTGGTCCTGTTTTTCAGCTAGTTACCATCACTTCTCTGTTCTTTGATATTTGAGCAAATTAATTTAGGTTTAAGTAAAACTATATGGGATGAAAAATGCCAATGCTGACATATTAAACACTGAGATAATTTCATCTTATGCTTATTGTAGATTCTCTTTTTCTGTAACCAGACAGCCTGGGTTGGTGCCATGGCAGTAAGATTGAAAATGTAAATTGAAATATATCATTTGGCAGAATCCAAATGAAATTCAGGGTATCTGCAGGCTAAGAATCTGAGTAATACACGGGCATTTAGATGTTCTAGTGTGAAACCTCTCCCACTTTAAGTAAGTAAGGATGAACTCTTTTTGTTTGTCAAGCACCTAAAGGATACCAGGGAGATCCACTGGTAATAGCTAAGAAATGAAGCCATTCTTTTAGGACACAAGGGTTTTTTTAGAAGAAATAATAGGCCCAAGAAGGCAAAGGGCTAAAGTGCTACCAAGCAAGTTATAAATAACTGGAAATGAATCCGGGCAGTGGTGTATGATGGTAAGCAGTACATTTGGAGGAAAAAGCTTGACTGAAATACAAACAGAAAGAAAATCTGTTCACTAGGTCAGGGGTAGGCAACCTCGGCTCTTTTATGACTCATGGACTCGGCTCTTTTATGACTCCCAGAATTCCTGAGTGGAAGTTGAAGTCCATGAGTCATAAAAGAGCACTAGGTTATCCCATTCATCAGAGTCTGAAATTTACAACAGAAAAAGGGAGGGGCTTCCTAGTTAAGTGTTATGGCTGGTTAGATATCTCTATAAGTGGTTCTGCAGACAGAGATAGCACAGTGGTGAAATTCCAGCAAAGGGTCAATTCTGACTGACAGAAAATTTCTCTGGAAGAAGGAGAAATTATAGTATTTATCTATTTGTGTTCTGTAAGTGCTGTTCCTCTCAAAAATTGTAGGAATTTAGGTTTTGTTGTTTTTGATTGTGAGCTGAATAGCTTGGAATCGAAGATTCACAATGTGCCCTAAATTATGCCCTAAATGCTCTATGGCCTTTTATGGACATTTCATGGGCAACATTCTCATTTTCTTAATCACTTTATGACTTAACTGTTTTACAACTTAAGACAGATATTCTGTCCAGTGAAGTTTAAATAATCTCAGTGAATGTGGGTTTTTTGTTTGAAGAATTCTGTTTAAATTTTTTTTAATTTCAAGACAAAAATCTTGACAAGATTGTGATATTAGAAAGTATCAAACGGAAAACAAGGGCAGTGATTTTTAAAAATAGAACTTTTTTTCTTTGATGAAAGTATCTTTGAATATAATAAACTTAATTAGGTTAACAGAGTGTACCTAACTGGGAAACCTGACTACTTAAATAGACTAAAAGATTCAAGGCAGAAAAAACAAAACTGAAAAAAACCCTATCTTTTATTCTCACCATAGTAATTGACATACTGTGCTTTCACTTTCTAATCATGGCAACCACACACAAAAAAAAAATTCTGCCAAACTGGGAGAAAGATGCAGAGTTCACTAGAACAACTTACCAGTAAGGGTATTTCATCAGATTTATTGCAGAAATTATTTGAATAATTTGGTAAAAATATAACTACAACAGTTAAAAAGGAAATAAATGGGAGGAAGTTTGGCAGGTATAAAAAAAGATCTGAAAGAAGTTAAGAAAAATGAAAAATCTATTCAGCAACTTGCTGCGCATTAAAGCAAATTATTGACAAAGTGGAAAAGAATTGATAAACAGAGATGGAGAGGACTTGGACAATTTGGCATTTTTGGAACTTAGGGGAAAATAATTTTGTTTAAGATTTAGAGCAATTTCAGAAGAACATGGAGAGGATATTAGAGAAAAGATTGTTAAATTCTCTAAATTTTTGGACTGAGAGGAGGAGGATATTGATAGAGAGACTGATAAGTCTTATAGGATCATTACGCAATTTGCAAAATTAAGAAATGTTCCAAGGGATATCCGTGTATAATTTGTTAGGAAGTGGACAAAACATGAAGTTCTACAGCAGCATCTTAATACCAGATAGAGGATTGATAATATAGATGTAATTGTACTTCAGAAATCCCAATTAGAACATTACATAAGAGAAAAAAGTACTTTTTTCTGATAGACAACAGAAAAGAAAATCCATTTAGGTGGAATAAGCTTGAAGAAGTGATTTTTTTTTCTTTCAAACACAAGAAATTTGGGTTGAATTCTGTGCAAAAATTTTAAAAGAAGATTTAGAGGAAATACAAAGGAAAATGACAGTGACAGGTGAGACTGAGCAAATGCCACAACATTTAAAAGACATTTAAAAAGACACTATGTTGGGTGCTACAGATTTTTCTAATTTTTTTAAAACAAAATTGGAAAAATAATGGATTATAAATGCTTAACATGGAATATAAATGGGGCAAATGCCTTTCAAAACAGAAAAAAAATCATTATTTAAACAAGTTAAAACAAGGTGTAATTTGTATACAAGAAATATATTTTAGGAAAAAAGATATAAAATATTTAACTTACAATAATTTGGGAGAGGAAATATATTTAAGCAGATTTGAAGAAAAAATGGAGTTCTATATACTAACCTTCAACTGTATCCAAAACTTATATTGACTAATGATTATAGTAGATGTGTTAGGATGGAAGCTGGGATGAAAGTAAAACCTACAGAGGGCTAAGACTTTAATACTGAGAATTTATGTCCCAAATTATCTATGTTAACAGGGAGATGATGGAAATAAAGATATATTATGCAAAACAAAGAAATTTTGAATTTAAAAATACACTAGGGAAACAGTTGGCATATAAGTTTGGGAATGGGACTAATATAAGCCCTACTGCAAAAATAAGCCCTAGTTTTGGGATAAGGCACATGCCTAAAAATCAAGCCAGGGTGGGAGGGGTGGAGCTGCCCTATGCACCACGCACCCACTTACCTTTACAGCCAGGCCTCCCATGAATCAACACCTGCCTTGCCTCGCTGGAAAGACCTCTGACAGCAAAATGCAAGCCAGAGCTACATTCTCAGCTGCAGAGGCAGCCCCGGAAAATAAGACTTGGTGCCTCTTTTGGAGGAAAAAATAAATAAGACCAGGTCTTATTTTTGGGGGGAAATAGTAGTAGAAGGATATACTTATAATAGTTCTCCCATTTACACCTGAATCTGAAAGATTTAAAATAGATATAAAGACTTAGGGCAGAGGTCCCCAACTCCCAGGCCACGGCCCACTACTGGCCCTTGAGCCTTTTGGAACTGATCTGTGGAAATAGTTGGCGAGTGTGCGCGCATGCACTCTATTTGCACAAGCGGTGGGCGTGCATGCCCTCTGCTTACGCAAATGGAGCTACGCATGCATGCTTGCTGAGGGCATGCGTGGAACCACCCCCTCTTTCCCGTGCTGGTCCAAAAAGGTTGGAGAACTCTGACTTAGGGTATGGAGCAAAGTAAGTCACAATTTGACAGTTGTGTACTGATGAGCATGTAATTGCTAAAATGCACAAAATTAGATTTTCTGAAATGAGTAAATTAACTTCTTTAATTATAGAAAAAATTATCTTTGTTTACTGCTAACTAGAGGCCTCTTATGGACTTTTTGGTGTAAAAATGAAAATAATTAACTTGTGACGTGGTTTTGATAAATAGGATAGTTTATAGAAAGAAGAGTAAAATGATGTAACTTTAGAGAGAGTTGGAATTTGTACTTATAACTACTGCGAAGAATATAGAACATAAATACTTTATATTTTTACTTTTTTTACTTTTTCTTTTTCTTGCACTTTTTGCTTTAATTCCTTTTTTTCTTTCTTACTATTAGTTTGTCTTAGCTTTTATCTTCTTATTTTAAAATTTTACTAAAAATTATACTAGAAATATGTAAATCTTAAGATAGATCCTACATCTATGAAATATGCTTGTTGCTGATCTCGGATATAGCCATTAGGGGTTTTTTTTTTCATTTTTATCTTTGTACAAAGTGAACAATGTCTGTTGTCTTGAAGGCATTATGAGGTTTTATATGACATGCTGAGAGCCATATTCCCAAAGAAACCAACCTGGAAGATACTTTTAGTGAGGCATTTTGCCTCTTAAAACCCACAGAAAATCAGAAAACTGTGAGAAATGGTCTTATATTTTGATCTCACATCTTTGGGAAATAAAAAAGGAAAGCTGGCAAGCAGCTGGACTGTATTGTTTTTGTATTTTCTTTTCCACTGATGATATTACTCTTGAAGAAAATAAAATTGTTTTGGAGATCACTTGAAGTATTTTTCTGTTAATAATTCTTTCTTTTCTGATAGGTATTGATGATGTTGTGGCGATAATGATCCCTGAGCCAAAGGGGAAAGAAATAGTGAGCCTATTGGAGCGGAATATTACTGTAATGATGCACATAACAGTGGGAACCCGTAACCTGCAGAAGTATGTTAGTCGTACTTCTGTGGTGTTTGTATCCATCTCCTTCATTGTGCTGATGATCATCTCCTTAGCATGGCTGGTCTTCTACTACATTCAGAGGTTCCGATATGCAAATGCCAGAGACAGGAATCAGGTGAGTGGTATTTCACTTGAAAATAAATATCAATTCCCTTTCTTTAAAAAAAAATCAACATAAGCAATGGTGTATATATGTTTTTACCTTCAGATTCCAGAAATCTGAGAATTACTGATTGGGAATTTTTGTTAAAATGTAAACATAGTCAAAATTGAATTGATTTATGTCATATTTAAATTGTTTAGTGCCCATCATAATGAATGTTTCTTAATGAGTATTAAAGAGAGCATTATTTATATTATTTGCATAAGAAGTAAAGAAAAGTGTATTTCGTACAGTTAAAGATAGGGACAAAGAACAGGAAGTTGATCAGCTAGGTCCCTCTCCTCTTACCTAAGGCACATAAGCTAGCACAATGTTGTTTAATATAGTTTTTAATTTGGAATACATCAGTGAAGGGATTAATAAAATTCATATCCCATAATGCAGGCAATGAATTCAATTAATAAGCAGCACAATATATGTCACTCTTTCTTACGCAAGTGCAAGAATTTGCAGCTTGATGTGATTGCGCCACTAATATGGGTCATCAAAATTATCCTTCAGCATGGATAATTCCAAAGAAGGAGGAGGAGATCGCCATGGATTTCATTGTGGAACTTCCTGAGAGTTTCAGGAATACCGTGATTTGGACTGTGATTGATCTGTTTTTGAAGCAAGCACGCTTTGTGGTATGTCCGAAGATCCCATCAGTCAGAACTTTAGCCAAATTGTTTGTGCAACATATATATAGACTGCATGGAGTCCTTAGGCATATCATCTCTGACTGGGGAGTGCAGTTCAAACTAATAGGTTCCTCACGGGGACTTACCGTAGTTCTGGGTTCCATCCGAGTACTAATGGATCGGCTGAGAGAACTAATTCAATGATAGAGCAATATTTGTATTGCTATGTGAACTACCAGCAGACCTATTGGGTGGAAGTGCTGCCTTTTGCAGAAGTGGCATATAATAATTCCATGCATAGTAGCACTGGGTTCACCCCATTCAAGGTAGCTACTGGAGCATATTTTGTACCAATGCCAGAATGGCAGAGGGAATCTCCTTCCTTGTTGTCTTTAGCTGAATGGATGGATACCCTGAAGACTACCTGGGGAGAGGTACAGAAGGCATTGGATAAGACTAGGGAATTGCATAAGAAGCCGGCTGATTGGAAGAGAGCTCCTCAAGCTAATTATAGAATTGGGGACCAGGTATACTTATTTACCAAGTATCTCAAACTGAGGCAACTTTGTAAAAAACTAAGCCTAAATACATAGGACCCTTCCCAACTGTGAAAGTCATTAATCCAGTAATTGTTGAACTATGGTTGCCAAAAGAATTGAAGCAAGTCCACCCAGTGTTCCATTGCAGTTTGCTGAAACCATTCAAGGGATCTAGCTTAAGACCAGTTGGAGAAGAACCTCCTCCGCCTATATTGGTGGAGGGTGAGAAGTATTATGAAGTTAAGAAAATACTGGATTCAAGGATTTTTAGGGGAAAGTTACAATACTTAATCCAGTGAAGAGGTTACCCCTTAGCTGATGCTGAATGGGTAACAGCTCATAATGTTAAGGCTGACAGGTTAATAAATACGTTCAATGTTCAAGAGGATATTGTTGGAATGGTTGTTTAATTATGCTCATTGTTTTCCTATGTTTATCCTTCTTTCAGGGGGCCAGCATGTCAAGGTTGAACCACTAAGATGCCTGCTAACTTCTATCACTACTCAACTTGCCCAAAAAAATGGGGGAGGGGTAGAAATCTTAGGGAGTAAATGGGATTCTAAGAAGCTGTTCATGGACCATGAGAGCCTACAAGAATGCCAAGGACACTAATGCAGGTGTCTGGCAGAGAAGTGGACTGTTCTCATAACAAACCAAAGAGCTATAATTGGACAACGTGAACACCCAGTGGGTGGGCGTTAAGGGAAGCTAGGTAGATTTTTGCGTGGGAAAATCAGAGCTGGTTTTGTTTCTTCAGTTACGAGATGTGTATTCAATGAAGTTTAACTTTTATGGTTTTCAAAGCCTTGAAGATTCCTTTTTTTGGGCCTGCTATTTGGATGGCTAATTGGAGTTATGATGTGAAAAATGTTTTATGTAAATAGATCAGAACTCTCAGGTACATGGAACCAGGCCCACATAGTCAGTAGATCAAAGTCTTTATTGTTGCAATGCCTATGTCAATGCTGCTAACATCGGATGTTTTTGCATTGACAACAGATGGAAATGTAGCCATCTTTTACCTTTTTGCTTTTAGAGTTAGATGATGCTGGAAGGAGTGATGTGAATGAGAGTCCAGCTAGACATAACAACACTAAACCTAGCGTGAGAAACAAGATTATTGTAACCAGAGCTGATAAGGAATTAGCGGGCTGGAGAACTGGAAAGGAGGCCCGCGCTTCAAGCTAATTGGGGAATGTGGTTTATGACCGTTAATTGGAGGAGGGAATTGTGCTTTGATACTATGTGCTCAAGGGATGGGAATTCAGTTTTTGGCTTCGATTATGCAGTGCCGATATTATGCTACTCAAAATAAAGATTCTTTAAGGTAAAAAATGCCTTGGAGTTCTTTTGAAGAGTTTCATCTGTCGGAACCATGACATTAAGCCAAAAACTACAACTTTTTCCTAACTATCTTGCGGTCCCAAGCCCCAGTCGCTGTCCCTAGAAAGGAGGGATAAGCTGATAAAGATTCGGGGAAGATCTCAGCATGGAGAAAGAGAGGACACCTGAAACCAGCACCCCGGCAGTGGCTGCTACCCCAGAGGAGACCGCGACAGCCAGCGCGCCAGTGGAGAAGGAACTTTTTCAGGCCTCCCAGCTGGGGGCAAAGCCCAAGCCATGAGGACAGCTGATCTGGTCGTTGAAATGGACCCTACCCAGCAATGACTCCAAACACCTTGAGACGGCCTTGTCACCCTCAAGTGCTTCAAAGGCAGATGGAGCTGAGCTGCTACGAAGGGACTCCCACACCTCACGTTCCCCAGACCAATGGAGAACCACAAAACCGTCTACCGCTGAGGACTCGGGTGAGTGGAAGTACCTGTCCACAGCACGTAGCCAGTCAATGGAGAAGCTGGTGGAAAGATTTGAGGAGTTAGAAATGAAGAGTGGGAACAACCTTCCCACTCCCCATATGCAAGTGATCATGGTGATTGGAGAGGCAGCCACCAACTCCTACCAAAGGAGACCCTCCAGCCCCCCCCCCCGTGCAGTTCAGGCAGCCTCCCAATCCTCGAAGCCACCCAGCCCGGGGCCCGCACAACATTGGGAAATGTCACAGCCTCACCAGCTGGGAAGCCAGCAGCCGCTGGTGGTGCAGCAGCCAGATTGGGGATGGTGACAGCCCCTGAAAGAAAAGCAGCAGATGGGGATCTTGCAACAACCGTGAATGATGTAGCTGCCAAGAAGTCAGCAATCGCTGGGAGTGCTGTAGCAGCAATGGGACTGGCAGCTGCCCCCAAATGTGCAGCAACCGTTGGAGGGAGCACAACTGATGGAGATTAGGCAACAACCGCCTCCAGGGCCACAGGAGGGCCTGCAGCTATTGGGGGCGCCACAAACCCCCTCAGGCCAACAGCAGTGGGGATGGCAGCAGCCCCCACCCTTGCAGCAACTGCTGGGAGGCCCGCAGCAGCTGGGGGTGCCACTACAGCAGCCACTGAGACCGTTGGGAGGCTTGCAGCAATTGGGAATGCGGCAGCCACTGTGGGGAGGCCAGCAACCACTGATGGCACCACCTCTTAGAGTCACCTTCGATGGGGACCCGGAGAAACTGATTTTTTTCCTCAATCAAGTGTGCTTTCACTTGGACCGCTATGCCTATCTCTATCCAAACCCAGCTGCTATGATCAATATGATTGCGTCCACCTTAGAAGGAAAATCATCCGAGTGGCTGAACAATTTATATAACGAACAAGCACCGAGTTAGAAGACCTCCATCTCTTCCTCCTAGGACTGAGAGCAAGGTCCATCCATTGCCCTCAAAGCGGAGGAGCAAATCCACAAAATAAAACAAGCCAGCAGGCCTGCACTGGAATATGTACAAGAGTTTCACAAGATAGCCGGCCAAATAGAGAGTTGGCCTGAGCAATCCCTTCAGGGAGAGACTAGACGATCACCTCTCCCAGGCTTGTATTTATTGAGCAGTCCCTGATCAGCTGCAAGAGTGGTACCAGGCAGCAGTAAGACTAGATGTTCAGCTTGCCCGCTATCAGAAGCCACCCCCCCTGGAAGCCAAGTCGAGGCCAAATCAACCCAAGTGACAGCCACCTCCCCGATAAACTACAAACATTATGGCTGCAGACAATCCCAGACTACCTGCTGGGCCAGTGTTTCAGATGCGGACAGCAGGGGCACCGAGCTGCGAATTGCCCAGTCCCTTACCCCCAGCAGCAGAATAAACCGGGACCACCAGCGAGGAAGAAACCAACCCAGCAGCCAACAACAGAGAAATCCAACTGGATCATACAGGAACCTGTTGCTCAACTCACGTCCCCCACGCTGGAGAATGCCAAGACCCAAGCTGGACCTGCCATTGCTCTACCCTTTTACAACAGCGACAATGAAAGAGAGAACGACCCGATGGTGAGTTGACACATCCCACCTTTTTCACTACCTGCCAAACTCAAAATCTCTAAGACAGGGGCACAGGTAGATTTAAAAGTACTAGTAAACTCTGGATGCTCCTGATGCGTTATTAGCTTGTCACTTGCCCTGAAAATGGGCATACGAGCAAAGCTACTCTCCAAACCCATGACATTTGAGCAAGCCGATGGCTCCCTAATGGGCGGAACTTTAATCACACAATTGACTGAACCCCTATGCTTAGAAATAGGTGAGCATTGGGAGTTCATTCATTTCCTGTGGCTCCAAAAATGACTTAGGCTGTGATCCTAGGGCTAGCCTGGTTAGACAAATGGAAGCCGTTTATCTGGTGGGAGAAGGGAATGAGGACTGTAAGGCTACCTATAAGACCAAAGACCCCCACTAATTCAACGGATGTTACAGGAGA